ATCTCAAAATCGAGTTTTTGCCCGGACACTGCCTTCAAAATGCGCTTCATACAATTTTGTAGAGAACCAGATGCTGATTCACCCTAGAGAGCGATATGATATGTGATAGATTGATATGTGTTTGGTATTTGCTGCGCGCCACTAGAGGCCGAGTTATGAGTGAAGTGAAGATCACTTGAAAAAGCTTACCGTGTCTCCACATTGATATATATGCGCTAACAACTCATCGTGCATGAACTGCGTGACCTAAAATGCCCCATACAGAGTATCAGTAAAGTGGCAAATATAATTCTACACTAATACCTGTGAAACAATGAGGTGCATTACGGCTTTGGGTACGAGATCCTTGATGGTTTTTGTGACGATTCTCATATAGGAATCTACTAGATTACGAATTGTTTCTACCTGAACGAAGAAAAATGTTGAAAGAGCAGAATGTGGACTGTATTACAGGTTATTTAATGCAAATAGCTTACTTGACGTTCCAGTTGCGGATCCATAGACGTCTCTTCAAGAACTTCTTGGCTCTGAAATGTTCTCAAAAGCATATAAGGATTTTATATAGTCAATATTTGGACTCTAATAGCATGCACTAAGCGTAATCGGACATGCAATAATACTGCACAACCCTCAAACACATGAAACGCTACCTACAGATAACAAGAACCGTACATTTACCTCCTGCAAAATGGATATAACATACATGGAGTAACATTAAAAGACATGAAATACAAATAAAAAGAAAGAAGAAAACCGTACCTCATCCTCAGTTGCTACTTTTTGTTTCTCAGGATAAACACCAGCACGCAGAAAAGACGCTTTCCATGCATCAACTTCATCCAGATTATTGCATCCCAATTCTAGTTGTTTGTAGTCTTTGTAGATGTTCCTTAAAAATGTATTTTACATTGTTGTGTTTAGCGTGAAATGTGCGGAAGACTAGCCAACTCAGCACATGCCACAGCACATATTCAACAAGAAAGTTCTAATCCACAGGACAGAGAACTTAGGTATGGCAGTTGCAAAAGAATAAATCTCGAAAGCGTGATTTTTGCAAAGAATAAGCTGATCTATCCAGGTCTACGCGCACACGCTGATTCACTCAATATTTCCTCATTGGTTTTTGTGAAGAATGGAACTTTTCAACTTCAGTAAAAAAAA